TGCGCGCATACATTCGACGATACAGATAGACACTATTACAGTGTACGCAATATGCTCAAAGATGCAGAAGCTTCTCGTTCCAAAATGGCTGGTAGTAAAGGGGATCGCCTCGCTTCTCGCTTCGGTCATCCAGCATTGTACAAACCACTCATCACACCTATGGTTCATGCCCGAGCTCAAAATATCTTAGCTTCAGTCTATGGCGGTCGTCTTACAGACTCTAACAATCCAGGTTCGGGGGATAATATGTTGGTTTCCGGATATTCAGATACGTTTGCCTTGTATCCTATGCGTGTTGGACAACCAGGTCGCTCCGCAAAAGGTGCTGTACCTGGGTTTGAGTGGTACCGGAAAATCGTTTAGATTTCTCGTACTACAAAGTAGAGCGGAATTTGCAGAGGAACATGGTGGTTCAGGTGGAATTTTCGGAAGAGCGGAAGATATTATCAGGACGGATGCTCCTGGTAGCTCGCGGTGGGGTCCAGATTCAAGGCCGGGTACACCGCTTCATTCAGGTGGTATGGGAACACCAACATTACCAAATTTCATGTCAAGTCCTAGACCAGGAACGCCAGATAGTGTGAGAGGAGATATAGGAATGAGTGGAGGAATGGGCATGAGATATTTCGGAGACAGGAAAGGTAGTTCGGGAGAAACGATGAGCTTAGTATATGGGGCGCAAGATATGCCTGCGAGTGCTGTACCTGGAGTGCAGGAACGAGCACCGGGTTTCTTGGGTGGTGGACCTCAAGGTTATGGTAATTTACCGCAGGAGGATTTGGATGGAAGGGGGAGTGTCGATCATGACCCTATGGATTATGATTATTTCCGTTCGAGGAGGACTAGAAAGGATTAGAAATTAGAGGGTGGGCATCGTAGATTAAAGGAGAAGAGAAGATGGCTGTATAACAGGATATGCAAGTGAAATGAATTGAAATGAAATGATAGATATTGGGAGGTTTTTGTTTTTTTGTTTTTTTGCACAGCTGCAGCTTCAGCTTTATATGGAGAATTAACGTCCGTTGTTTTGTTTTTTCTTGTATCGGAACGGTTCAGATGGGATCCAGAGACTTGGGATAGGGTTTAAAAATGCATGTATGGATGGATGGGTGGATGGGTGAATGGGTGGGTGGTATGATTGATTGGTTGATTGGTTGATTGGTTGGTTGGTTGGTTGGTTGGTTGGTTGGTTGGTTAGCTGGATAATGGCGTTTCTTGGGTTTATAAAGTCAGTTAGGCTAAATTCTAATTGGATTGGATTGGATTGGATTTTTGTGGGAAGGGATGGTGGATAGGTAGATAGATAGTAGATAGATAGATAGATAGATAGGTGGTGATAGAGGAGAGATAGGAGATAGGAGATAGGAGATATTAAAGTTGGAGATAGTTTTATGTGAAGTGATATGAAGTGATGTGAAAGTGATGTGATGTGAAGTGGTTGAAGTTGTGATTTAAATTTGTATATTGGTGTTTTATATGTATATATATAAGAGCTTATATATAAGTATAAGGATTGAGAAATTAAAGATGATTACGATTACGATGGTACGGAGTTTGCCGTCTAGATCACGTGGAAGTGCTCTAGGCTTCTCGAGGTGTTTATAAGTAGGCGTCAAGCAGGGACTTAAAGTAATGACCATAATGCAATTTCGTAACTAATAGTAGAGTTTACTAAATGATGGATCTTGATCTTGAGCACGAGCTTCTAATACAAGGGGATCCTATCTTGATTTATATAGACCTTCGTATTTCCACATTGGAGCGATGGAGCTGGGGCACGCTGAGATTCGAATCTCGCTCCTTCGCTCCCTCGCTCCCTCACTAGACTATTCATGTGATCCTATAACATGTGATAATAGTTATAATGTTGCAACGTAACATACGATTAGATTATTAAATATAATTTAACAATATTAATATTATACTAGCTAAATAAGTTAATTATATTACGAGGTTAACTTTAATCAATCCTTTATAAAATTTTTAACAGAGATAAAATTTGATATAAAAAAACCCGAGTATTAATCAGTCATATATTGATTTTAGTAATCATATAACAAATTCATAAACTTAGACCCAAAATGAGACTAAAATTTAAGATTGGCTATACAAATTCTATAGATACCTGAAAACTTTAAATAGATATAAGGGATTACTCTTTATAAGAGATTCGATTGGTGAAATTTTTCGGCCCCTTATAACCAGGTTCTACTGTAATACTTGATTCATAATCACGATTAGATGATTCCTTAGAGGGTAAGTTGTTACGATGATGGTCTGTGATCGGTTGGGAAGCGAGGGGTTGTGGTGCATAGGGGTGGAGGTAGACTTGCTTGACTCATAAACCCAAGGTATGAACATTGAATGTGTCATCCCATGTCCGTATGAAAAGCCCTTGCAAGTGATAATTTCATCAAGTTATCTAACTCTCTTCCCTGACTACACTACCGGAATTTGAGTTTCTGTATGAAATAACACGTGCTGTTCGATAGTGCTCATGAAGAACACTCCCAATGTGCTGATTATAGACATCTATCATAACTTGTGATAAATCTATAGTCTAAGATTCTGAACGTTGTAGCCAGCAGCACCAAATCAATCGTTCACTAACCCCGCATTTACCCCTAAATTCTAGACTGAATTTAAGCGAAAATTAGTTTTTGCCGAAAAAACCTCATCGACATAATTTGTAGTCACGGGTCTGATAAACATTTAGCGACCTAGTCGGTTGATTGTCAGCTTATAAAAACGGATTTCGGCATGCTTAGTTATTGATTCAGTTGGATTTCTAAGATAGCTGAGTTGTTGGATTTTACATAGTAAATGCAATCATACCACTGCTTTTGGAGTAGCCAAGCAGTTATTGTTAGCCGCTTCAACAGTGATGGTTTGAATAAATGATATGCATCGATCAGCGAGGATTCTGCGAAATTTTCATTCGATCAAATGAGGATATAGCTTCGCTGATCAGCAATGAAATTTCGTTGATTTCGAAGATGTTTTGAGGGTAGACTGCGCAACAGGACTCCGCGGGACAGATTATTGCTTTGGTAGGTAATCCGCAAATAACCCATTTGCAAGACAGGTTATTAGGAAATCTAAATAAATAATCCATAAAATATTATTTACAGGTTACCTATAAACAATCTGTAGATAATCTGTAGATAATCCACAAATAATCCACAAATAACATCCCACAAATTATTCAAAATCCCGATAGATAATCTATAGAACAGATAATAGATCTAATAGATTACCCATAGAGTGGATAGTCCATAGTTATCCGCAACCCACTGATTATTTTTGCACAGTCTATTTGAGGGTATTTAAAGTATCTTTGAAGATATTTAAAAGACCCTTCCAATGTTTTAACTTTTTGCCACCCAGAGAAACCCTTACAGAAGAAATCAATTCGAATGGATTCGTTGAGGAGATCGAAGAAAAAGTAGAATATCCTCATTTCTGGAATGATTTCTATACTAAGTAAGAATTATATATTAACTAAACAATAATTGATCAATCTATCAATCTCTTAATCGATTCAATGATGAATAAAAATATGAAAATTTTAATATCAATCAGCCAAGTATTAGGGGTTCGCTGATTACTAACTGATTGACTGACCGATCATTCTGATCTTTATCGGAATATTCTTTTGATTGATGTACTATAAGAAAGTTAACTTTAATTAGATTAACTGGCGTTTGTAATCACGTAGTCCATCGTAGCTACATGTTGGAGATATTTTCAAGGTTCCTCTGATAATCAGACTCTTATTATTATTTTAGGATAACCCTTGTCTACAGCTCATCACATTGCTTTTCATATTTAATTCGACATTGAAATATAAGTATTCCTAGTATGCGTTTCTATTAGTTTCTCTGTTTCTCTTTGTAGCACGTTATTGGGGCGTAAATACTCAATCTAATCTCCAGAAGCATGTCTCTCTTAACAAGGCGAAAGTAGGACTGGGAATACATATTCCAGGGCTC